CGTGCGTGCGTGCGTGCGTGCCTGCCTGCCTGCGGGCATGCCTGTGCGTGTCTTTATGTGCGTGTGTATGTGTGTGTGTGCGTTCGTGCGTGCGTGCGTGCGTGCGTGCGGGTGCGCGTGCGTGGGCGTAGGCCTGTGCGTGTGCGAGAGAGAGAGCGAGAACAGGTAGAGAGTACCATGTTCTTTAAGCACGCTCTCTAGGAGACCCATATTACGCCAGCCTTGTCGGGTATTTACATATCGACTAAGTTCGGTCGCGGATTGTTGACCGTGTAGGTACATTCTTTGCATTTGTTCTAGGGGCGCCCCCACACGCACACACGCGCACGCACGTACACGCACGCACACACGCGCACGCACGTACATACACACTGTTCATTATTTTGCTCATACGTCCGTATGTGTTCCCACAGAGATTGTATGTGTGTTCTTTTCAAAACCGTGTGTGTTCCTATAGATGGATAGAATATCTCCCTGCAAGGATCATTGTTGTGTTCCTGCAAGGATCGTTTATTTCTCCGTCCAGTGCTTCTATGTTACGTATTGTCATTCCCACTAGCCGATCTTAACAACGGCCGGCTACTTTCAATGAGAAGTAATTTCCCACTTCAGCAGTGATCATTCTGTCTTATTACGTCTATATGCATTGCGTTTGTATGTGCAGACAACGCCACAAAAACATGTAATAGGACTTTGGATTGAGTGAAATAAGTTTTATTTGTTACCAAGTTTCCATTAGTTTTGTGAATGACGACGGACAAACTAAGTTAGAAGTAATAACATTGATATTTGGCTGATTATGTACATTAGTGTATAAAAATTATCCCTTTGCGGTTTCATTTATTATTAAATTTTTCATTGCGTTCTGTCATTGTTGAATGAGCGAACTACCTTTTCTCTAAGTTTCGTTTTGCATGTTTTTATTTGAACCCTAATTTTTCATGAATTTTTTATATTACTGTCATCACTTTTTCTGCCTTTCTTTTTTTCTTTTTCTGAAGCGTCACAATTCTTATACATTAGCTATACTGGGAATATTTTGCCCCGCAATTTCAACAAAAAGGCATCGGTCGATTTTGCAAGACTGCTTCCTTTATTTCTTGCCAAATTCCGTAAGAACTATAAGTTTGTTAGAGAACAATAGAATAACTTCATGATGTGCACAATAAATTGAAACTTGACGTGAAACTAAAACTTGTTCCTGCATTACCAAACATTTTACATGGTGTCGCTGCATTCCGGCTTTGTTTTGCAGATCAATAATTAATATGACTAATTGCCGAAATCATTATACACTTCATTATACTCTTACTGTTCTACCTAATATGCTAATATTACTACCATGCTTAATACGCTTTTACGTCATTATGTCACGTGTCACTTCAAAAAGAGCCTTTTAGCATTTTTATTCTAATTTAGTATTTTTAGCATTTTTATTAGCATTTAGTTTGATTAGTTTTATTAGCATCTATTAGAGAATTAAAGCTAGGTAATAAACTAAGCTGATTGCTTTACTGATGTCTGCATATGATGTCAAAAACGTCTGCTATCACTATAATCATGTACGCCTACATTATGCGTAAACGTAGCAATTAATCTTGAAATAATAAGAGAAATACACTGCGTAATATAATTATAAAACAAACTGAGCACTGTGGTGATCACAAATGGAGATGCTCATCCTTTCAAAGAAGTGTCAAACCAACATAATTTCACCCGTATCTAGCGGACACTGACAAATTCAGTACAGTGTATGATTTACGTATCCTGGATGGCGAACCATAATATATATTGCACAGTTTATGTACAGGCACGCCCTGCTGTTGGCGTGTGCGCGTTATGCTAGCTCAAAACGTTGTGTCGGTATACACTTATCATCTACATTTTTGCCGATTTCTCATGCATTCCTCTCTATAGTCCCTATTGCGATATTATAGTCTTTCCTACCTCTTCACCCTCTCACACACACACACACACACACACACACACACACATGCACGTACATGCGCGCGCACGCACGCACGCGCGCACGTGAAGTATTACTACTCGCTTCAGCCTCGTCTCCTTTTGGCGATTTCGCGTATATTTATGCGGCGAATCTTTCGGAGTCAATTTTAAAGGGTTCTTACGACAAAGCGTAGCATCGGCGAGTTCATTAGAGTGTAGGAGGACGTAGTTTGCATGCTATTACTTCATAAGAGGTGGCCGGGCCGCGCGCTATGGTGCAATTTCGCGGCGAGATATTCGCGTGGGAAGATCGATGCGTGTTGCGCGCGGAGGGAGGGGAGGTGACGCGGCGACGCGGTCGGTGACGGCAGAGTCGTCGCCGATGCTTATCCGGCAGCAGGAGGTGAATGAGGGCTTCACTTCAGCCTCGCAGGGAGGATGAGCGTGACCGCTGTCTGCTCCCGCGCCCGTGAGTGCAAGCTGTTGCTGGTAGTTAGCGAGGCGGTATCTCTCATCACGATCTTCTTTCTCCCATCGCCTTCTCATATCCCCCCCCCATCGTATTTATTTTTGTTTTGCTCGTTTTCCTATACGTATTATTCTCCTTTCCCCTTCTAGTTCTACTTCTGGTTTTTCGCAGTTATTAGGTGCGTGATGACAACCTAAAAATATGTGGCTTTTTCTGCCCTCTCTCTGTATCTGCATCCCATCCCTCCTCCGCCTACTTCCTCCGCCAATACCACATTCTTTTCCTCTCTCGCCCCTTCCCACGTCCTTCTTCCTCTTCTCCCCTTCTTGCCCTCCTTTTCTTCCGTCCTCTACTCTACCTTTCCAATGCCTCTTCTCTTCTTTTCTCGTTTCCTCCTTTTTCTTATTTCTTACTCCTACTCTTCCTTCTCTCCCACGACGACTACAGCGATAGCAATTAACGATGACGATGATGGCGATAGCGACAACCTCAGCAATCACATTCACGTAGTCGTGGCGCTATAAGAGCGAGAGTGTGCAGTCGCGGCGTTCCCTCGCTGCATGTGTGTCGCGGTCCGGCAGCGCGAGTGGCTGTGCGCGGCTGATGCCGGACGGTCAATACCGACGTCGATCGACCATTTAATTCCCTGTTTGTTCGCCAGTCGGAGATTCATCCATTGTCCGCTCACGTGTTTCGCTCTCACAGTAAGTGTGACCCAGCACCGTCTTATCAACCAGCAAGCATCGACGCGCATCTAAGGCACGCATGCAGACGCGCGTTCGCAGGCACGCAAGCACGTGTATGCACACATCGCGCTCGCGCAGGCGGACGGGTTAGCCGGTGTGTACGTGTTTGTGTATATGCGTAGGTGTGTTGTGGGTGCGTGCGAGAGGTTTATGCGAGGGGAAATAGCGAGGGGGATATGAGTGTGTGGGCGCATTGTGTGTGAGTTCAACTGAGAGGGGACGGGTATTTGGTGGAGTGTGTACTTAAGGGTGCTTGCATGGATACGTGGATGCGGTGAGGCTGGGACGGATGAAGGTCGCGCACGCTCGCACGTGGCCACTTTCCCGCCAACGCATCGGCGTATACTCAGTCAAGTGCGCAGTATCCGTACAGTTCATCAAGACGAAATTGCATGTTAGCTCTATCACATTAAGTGTCATGCAGCATGCGAAAATGATGTAGGAATCACTAGGGCGTCATTACCGGCAAATTCTTTCGCAAATCGCCAGACAGGATGCTAATAGGATGAGGCAAGTGGCTTCGCAGCGCGTGGGCGACAAGCGCATGCATTCGCGGGGCTGGTAATAATAGATAGTGAGCGAGTGAATAAATGAGAATGCAGAGACAGGTAGAACGTGCGGGGAAGTCCGAGCGAGATCGAGAGAGAGAAGAAAGCTCGATGATTGAGAGTGACTGCCGATGAATATACTATGCAATGAGAACGCGAACAAGAGAGCGAGGGAGAGACAGATGGTGAGAGAGTTATGAATAGGAAATAAGAGAGATATTGGGGAGAGAAATACAGACATTCATAGAATTATATAGAGATTCTGAGAAAGAAAGAGAGAAAGAAAGAGAAAGAGAGAGAGAGCGTGAGTGAATGAAGCATATAGTGAGAGAGTGTGCGAGAAGGATGGGGGGATATTACTAAGGTATGCCTACGGTCAACCAGATGTTGCATCTGTATGCCTCCTCTCCTCTGTCTCGGTCTCATTCCTCTCACTAACTCTCTCTTTCTCTTCTCATTATTCAGTCGCTTTATGTTAAATGTTCGTCTTTCTTTTGTGGGAAACGTGACGCCTGTTGACCCCGTAGATGCACCGCGTGGGTCGTCGTCACCCGCGGCTCGTGCTTACAGTAAGTGTCGGCTCTCACTCTCACTCTCTCACTCTCTCTCTCTCTCTCTCTCTCTCTCTCTCTCTCTCTCTCTTTCTCATGCATTCCTCTCTATAGTCCCTATTGCGATATTATAGTCTTTCCTACCTCTTCACCCTCTTCTTACCTCACCCGCCCTCCGCCCTTCTCAACATCTCGCCCTGCTTCCCTTTCCCTCTCGCGCCCTCACTGTCCCTCTTCTGCACTCGCCGTTCCTCTCCCACCTTAACTGCTCCTCTTCCGTTTTCCATAATGTGCCTTTTTTACCACCATGTTTTCCCCTCTTACTCCCTCTCCCTCTGTTTCTCCCATCATTTTCCTGCCCTTTTCTCTCTCCTTCTCTCTCTCTCTCTCTCTCTCTCTCTCTCTTTCTTTCTTTCTCCCTCTCTCTCTCTACCGCTGTTCGTCTTTCTTCTGCCATCGATCCCTTTCTCTTCCGCTCGCCCACCTTCTTCTCGACCTCTCATCTTTTCCCCCACCTTTCCCATCTTGCCATCGCCCTCCCTCTCTAGCCTCGGCCGCCCGCTTCCTCCCGACCGCCGTCTTCCTTCATTTTCCCCAGCATTCACGTGCTAATTATTCCCGATTCTACGATTCTTACGGATGTCGGGGCATTCGGGTCGTGATCGCGTGTATTTCACGCGACCTGTTCTAGCCGACCTCGCTGTTTCGTGAGATAAAGCTGATTTATGTCCTCTTGCAGGTCTGGTGAGCTGAGCAGCGGACCAGGGCTTGATTGATCGGGAGATTTTCTGACCTCATCCAGCAACGTGTCCGTCTGCGTTGGCTACGGGCCAATACAGCCAGGTGGGAGTCGGCCTCAGTCCAGCAAACCCAGCGTGACGGCCCGGATTCTGTCTGAAATGATCAACAACTAACGCACTCGCGGATAGAAATCACACATGCACACATGCACACAAGCGCGCGCACGCACGCACGGTTTTGATTAATCGGACTGATGCATACTCAAGGTTGACCACTTTAATAATTGTCCTGTCAGAAAACGACGATGGACATCTTCCCAGTCGATAATTGATCTCTTGCACCGATGTTAGGTCGAACGTTTTTTTCGCGGCGATGGTGCTGAATAGTAAAAAACAGTCGACTCTATCTTCGATACCCGCTGGCGCTGGAGGATCTCGTGAGTAAAGCAATGAAGTCGCACCATAATCACGACACACTCCTGTGGCGACGTCGCTCTGTACGTCAGTCGCCAGTCTGTACTTCTTCTTTTTGAGAAAATCGTGTTTTACGTTGTGTCGACGAATCGAAATAAATTGTCAATAAAAGATGCGTTTTGCTCTAGTTACACGGACTTCTCTCGATTATCACGATGTGTCGCTACTATGTGCGTGCGTGCGTGCGTGCGTGCGTGCGTGCGTGCGTGCGTGCGTGCGTGGGTGTTTAAATAACTACGTTTCTCTAAAGTGACAGTGACAGATAAGCGAAAGTGACAGCGCAAGGTGTGCTAACTTTTAAGTGACGCAGAGTTGAGGCGAGTGGGGAGCAACAGGGAATCTGACGTGTGTAGGGAGCAGCAGCAGGGAATCTGACGTGGGTAGGTGGCAGCAGCAGGGAATCTGACGTGGGTAGGTGGCAGCAGCAGGGAAT